TCACAGTGACTTCTTCAACGCTTTTTTGAGCAAACCTCAACAAGACATGCCTTCAGCGTGGGCTACGTCCGCCGTGCTACTTATTCTGTTGTTACCGGTCTTCACAGATCGTCTCCTTGTCCATGCAGCCCGGCACCGCATTGTGACTGGCGGCAGTCCCCGCCTCCGCCGCCCCTCGACCGGCCGCTTTCTGTCCAGGCTGTGGCCTGCAAAGAGACGCAGACTTCCATCTCCGGGCCAAGCCGCACCAGCGAGGCAAGACTCGTCAGCCCCGCCGCCGACACGGACCGGAGTCAACCTCAACCTTGTCAACGAGCTGCCGCCGTCAGAGTATAATATTATGTGCGATGGTCGGGTATGCCGCGATGCGCCCTCGACCGCCCATTCGCAATTGATGCGCAAAACGGAGAGGGCCGTGCGCGCTGCGTGCTCTAAGATCGACGTTGAGCAGCAGACTGCAGCGAATAGCAGCAGCAATCAGAAAAAAGGGAATGCGATGGTGTCCGCGGGGCCGGTGTCCCATCATCACACTGCTGCGCCGCGGAACTGCTCGGCACCTCCGGGTGCGCTCATCTGGTTTCCTTGCGGCTTTCAACACATCAGTAAAATGTTGACCAACCTGTGCGTGAAGCAGATTGTGCGTAAGCACACTTATCGATTTCATTACTGTATCGCCGGTCTCCTGCTCTTCCCCAAGTTAGAGGAGACGACGAAGAAGATGTTTCGCTTGGGTGGCCGCGAGTACAAATGTCCCAAGTCGCTCTACGAGGGGTTCAACAAATTCGCAAGCAGCGCGGCTAGAGACGCCGTCAACAACTGTCATCTGACGCAGCCGCTCGCACCGGACCTTTGCCAGTATGCCGGCAACGGCTCGTGCGCGATCGTCAACGACAACGAATGTCTACTGCATCTGACCGCCAAGCTGTGGGTGATCGGAATGACTCACGTCGAACAGTCGGGCCAGATCAGGCCGTCGCCGCAGCGCCTGCAGTGCTGGGAACCCGAGCTGCAGGCGGCAGAGCGGCAGTACAGAGCGCCGGGCCGTTGGGAGGTCGACGACAAATGCCTAACTACGCTGGAGGACATCGCCAGGAAAATGTCCAAGGAGCTGAGCACGACCCTGTACTACGAGTTTGTGGACCTGTACCGGACCATCGAGCAGCAACATCAGTTCAACAGCACATTCGGACGCTTTCTCACGCACGTCCTGCCGAAGCTGTACCAGTCCGGGCGCAACGCGGCATTCCAGGTGCTCGTCGGTCCGCTGTTCGAGCGCATGCGGCAGACAGCGGCACGGAGGCGACGACGGAGCACTCTCTCCGGTCAGCCCGTGACCAAGGTAACGGTGACGTGTCAGGGGTTGCGCGGCACCAGAGCTCTGGTCCACAGGACAGTGTTGATGTTGATGCGGCTGATCATCATCAACGAACTGGACTACAGCCACTACACGGTCATGACCCAGCTGGCAGCGTCCGCACTCAACATGGTCCTGGAGTGTGCGGCGAATAGTGCCCTGTGACTCAGTCTGTGAGTAGATGGCGTACCCCATTCACAGTCTGAATGGTGATTATTTCACACATAAGCACACATGCACAGACAGACAAAGACACACACACACACACACACACACACGCGCGCGCGCGCGCACACACACACACACACGCACACATAATGCAATGTGCTCGTATATCTCCACCTATCTTTGCCTCTCTCTCTCTCTCTCTCTCTCTCTCTCTCTCTCTCTCTCTCTTCCTAACAACACATCGGTCTCATATCTGATCGTTCACTCACTCATCCACCTATCTGCATGTGTGTTTTTCTCAACTGAGAAGCTTGCCATAGCACCACCACGAACCACCAGACACTCTTGCACATGAGTTGTAACTTCACGACTAAGTGCGGCCGGGCACAGCAAACACCATGAGCTATATACTACGAGTATGCCATGGCAGTATAGCCGTGTGTAGCTGGACATGCTACGGTCACTGCAGTAATGACCGTACCACTCGTTGCCACTGGTACCGTGTGAATTAGTAAAAGGCGCTGATTTGGGCTCTAATTTTCGAAATTTTCCAGATGAGACACCCCACTGACCACCCCACGAGTAAATTGCACTTCAGGTGGCTGACCATACCACCCTAACTACGTTCCGACACCCTGATATACCCAGATGTAGCCGCAGAGAATGACCTGTTACCACCGATTGACTTCTAAACTGTGTTCCCCTTCCTCACTTATTTATACTGTGCGTGCACCTGCATCGTGGTTATCACAAACTCCTGCTGCTGCTGCTGCTGCTTTGCCGATGATTAGGCGACGCAGAGAAACTCATGATTACTACTAAGTTTCCTCTTTGCTACTTTGCTTCGTGACATGAGCGGCAGGTATCATTCAGGGAGTCGTAAAATACCGGTATTTTGTAAAATACCGGTATTTTACGACTCCCTTTTATCATTCTATCCATTCCATAGCTGTCCTGCCACTACATGTTTCTCCTACAAGTACATTCTTGCGTGGCTCAGGGCATTTTTCCTTCTGCCGTAAGATATCTTTGATCTACCGTCTTGACCTAGCTGGGGCTGCGTCCCACCAGCTAGCCTGTGTGGGTGCACAGGAAACTCGAGCTTCGAAGTCTGAAGAAACTGCCGCTGCTGGGATGATGACACTAGTGGCTAGAGCATCGCTGGTCATAAGCGAAGGCCCCTGGTTCAAGTCCTGGCGGCAGTAGTCAATTTTTTTCTTCTTCAGACTTTTCACGTTTTCAGCTCCTTCATACTTTTGAAGATTTTGTTTACTCCTCAGTAACTATTCTTGTAATACATTGTTCACGACCTTCAAACACGCGCCCACCACCAGTGAGGAGATACCCTTTACGTGCAGAAAGTGGAGAACTCCATTTGGGATCGTGAAGATCACAGCCAGGGAGTCGTGGCAACTGTCTGCATGTACATGCCGGTATGTCATCTTTGATCTAGATTTGTACGACTTTTGGAGAGAGAGTGAAAAATCTTGACATTCCTGCATATGACTGATATGAGTGGTCGATAGCATTCACACCTAAGACCTTGTGCTAAATGACTTGTAAAGTAGAACCCGGGTTAAGGGTCCACCTAACTCTGCGCGGACATACCGTAGCTGGACTCAGTTGTACAGGGAGGGGCAAAAAGGTGTGCAAACCGACTTTTTGTGAGTAGATGGACCCCGGAAAAATAGTTTGGAACGAAAAAAGTTACGGCTTTCTCGGAAACCGACGGGGGACCCCCCACCCTTGGACCGGAAATTAAATCCCGGTATAAGGATCACCAGCACAATGTACGTACTAAGTGCCCCCCCCCCCCCCCCCCGGGCTCCCGGTATGTACACGCAGTTACTGAGTTAGTACAGTAAGTCCTTCACACCAGCTCACGCCTCGCGGTCTTCCTGCATGACATCAATGATCATGCTTGCCGGATGACCGCATTGTATGCAAGCAACCAAGACTGCATGCACTGCGAGGCAAGATGAGATCGAGTCGAGTAGGCAAGACTAGAACACTGTACTGGCTACGATTCGGCCCGAAGAAGGGCCACCAAGGCCCGGGCAAGGCAAAGCGTGTGTGCTGGATCAAGACTACACACTACCAAGTACCATGACTACTGCCAGTACTGGTCACCTAAAACTGTCCTTGAATCACCCAGTGTCGATCGGAGTGAACGAGGTGAGCAAACTGCAAAGGCAATGCCACGCACACGCAGCTCTTGCTTGCAGCTTTATTTGCTGCAAGATCAAACGCTTCTGTAGCCCTAGCTGCTGTACCCGTCTCTGCTCGCGCAATGGGCTAGTCCGTCCGATGATCGGTGCGCGGAGCTGGAGTTGCAACGACGGACCGCTATCGGGTCTACCTCTTCAGGCTTGCTCCTCTTCCGGGAGTTTTCTGGCACGTTAGCGCCGATCCGCCGATCCCCATGACCAGATGACACTGACAGCCCAGGTATTGATCGAGGACAGTTACTATTACTGTTAGTGCGTTACCATCGTTAGTGTGTCGGTCGTTGCCTTTTCCTGCGCCCTGCACCCTGCGCGTGCTGCTGAGTATTGTGCATGTCTCGGTCGAATCTTATGATCGGACACCGACATGAAGAGGCCGAAAAGCAAACGCAGTCGCAAGGAGCGCCTGTTGGCGAAATGGAGAGAGCGCCTACTTCGCCCGCCCCTGGAAATGGCCATAGCCAGAGATCAGCTGAGAAGAGAGTCGGCGGTGGCTGCCACTTGGGGCGTGCGGCCCGGTGCGGGCCTAGTACCCGGCGAGCGCGGCGTGTCGCTGAGCGAGATACCGGTCAACTTGTGTCTTCTCAGCTACGAAGAGCTGGAAGCCACTTTCGAGACCGACCATGACTTGTGCTCTTCCAGCAGTGCACGCGAACGACAGATAGCGGCCGACAAAGCTTGGGTGGGGATGTCGGAGGACGGCACCGGCACTCCGAAATGGCCGGCAAGCTTTGCCAATGCTAGCGGTGACGACGGAAGCCCCACGGCTGCGATGCTGGAGGACGAGTTTGAATGCCGTGAGCACGTGCGACTGGAGAATCTGTTCGACGAGTTCCCAGACATACCCGATAGCGATGACGACACTCCCCCGCCGTCGAGAGCAGACAGCGCCAAGTCGCGAACCGGCGAGAAGGAGGACCTTGAGTTCGTCTTGGTCATGGGTGAGGCTGGTTGTGGCAAGACGACCGTGTTTATTCAACTCGTGCAGCACCTCTGGACCAGGCGAGAGCTGTGGGCGGACAAGTTCGACATGGTGCTCTGCCTGCCGCTACGCGAGCCCGAGGTGAGCATGGCGAACAGCTTCCACGAGCTGTTCTGCGCCAGGATCGATGGGAACAGCACGCACGGGTTCCGGTGGGTGTCGACATACAAGTACTACGATCAGTGGCGGCAACGCGTCTGTCTCGTTCTCGACGGACTGGACCAGATCGATGGCGGCCTGGGCATGTGCAGCTCGTTCATGCGCAGCCTGATCGAGCGCGGCAATCTCGGCGGCGACATGTGGCGCGGCGTTCGCGTCATCGTGACGACGCGTCCGTGCGCGGCGGTCCGGGACCTGGCGAAGTGGCAGCTGCGCAACGAGCGCTGCCTCTGGATGACGGGTTTCTCGCCGGTGAACGTGCGACGCTACGTGAACACAGCGCTGGACGATGAGTGGCTGGAGGGGGACTTCTATCGCGCTCTGGAGCAGCCCGACAACGTGCTCCGCTCGGTGATGTGCACGCCGCTGTACTGTGCACTGGGAGTGGACCTGTTCAAGCGCGGATACAACACACACTTCACCACCTACCCGGCGCTGCAGGAAGCCGTCCTGCTGCACATCCTGGAGACCGCCACGGACGCGGCCGAGCAGAGAAAGGACCCGGGCTACGTAGCGCCTCACCTGCGGCAGCGTCGGCGACGAGACGACGTCAACAGCGCGGAGAGCGGCACCAGAGGACGGCCAGTCAAGTCGCCGGCCAAACCCACCGCCGGCGCAGCAGCAGCCACTGGCAACACTAGCAACACGCAGGTGGTGACCCGGGGCCAGTTAAAAACACCGTTCACGAGTGGTGGCAGGCCCGCGACAGCCGACGACGATAACGACGACGATGATGGGGGTGCCCTACCAAGGTTCAGGTCGTTTGCCGATGCCAAGCCGGAGCTGCTGCAGACGCTGTGCGAGGTGGCCAGGTTTGCGTTCAACATGCTTTCGATCGGCGAGACCATGTTCGACGAGCGTGAGCTGGAGGAGGCGCGCCTGAGCCCGGCCGCTCGCCGCCTCGGCCTGCTGGTTAAGTGCAAGGGCGGCAGCCGGGGCCTGAGCGTGTACTTCATACTCAAGGCTCACCAGTACACGTTTGTCCATGCGACGCTGCAGGAGACCCTGGCGGCGTGGTACGCGCGGCACTGTCTGATTGAGGTCGGGCCCGCGGACCGACACGTCCACACGGCACAGCAGCTGATGATGCAGATGTACGGGCGCGTGGCACCAATGTTTATGTTCTGGCACCTGCTGCTGGTCTGGACGGGGGCAGGCGTGACAGAGGCGCTGGTGCAGATCCTGTACCGGCAGCACTACCACCCGCACTGGAGCAGGACGCAGTACGGCAGCACCAAGCGAGAGCCGGTCGCGCCGCCGCGCCGTCGCTTCTACGGAGTCACGACGACGCGCAGCCATGCCCCGCAGGATTTCCCGGACGACGTGGCCTGCGTGCGCGCCCCGCGAGAGCTGGACAGGCTGGCGTCGTTCTTCGACAGGGAGCTGTCGGCGGCCATGCGACTGCAGCTGACGTTCGCCCTGCTCCAGAAGCATGCCGCCGCCGACCCCGACGCCAAGCCCAAGCCGCGCCCTTGGGAGCCCCACCCGCAGCCCGTCCAGGACCACGGCCATGAAGACGTTCGGCTGTTCCTTGTAGAGCTGGAGAGGCAACACGACGAGCACCTACGGGAGCACGAGAAAGAGCAGCAAGGGGACCACCGGCACCCGCCGCCCGAAAAAGAGCACAATGAGAGTGGACGGCCGGGAAAGAGGGTACAGGAAACACCAACGACAGCAGTGGCAATGGCGGCTGCGGTGCACAGGCAGCAACCACATACGCTGCTGCGGAAGCAACAAAACCAGCAACCACCGCAGCCGCCTCATAAGCAGCAACTACCGCCACATAAGCAGCAACCACCGCCACATAAGCGGCAATCGCCGCCATATAAGCAGCAACCACCACATAAGCAGCAACCGTTGCAGAAGCAGCTCAAGTTACAACCAGGGAAGAACCTTACACAGCTCACGCAGAAGCAGCCACAACAGCAGAAGCAGCCACAACAGCAGCAGCAACAACAAATGCAGCAGCAACAACAAAAGCGGCCGCAGCAACAAAAGCAGCCGCAGCAACAAAAGCAGCCGCAACAACAAAAGCAGCAGCAACAACCGCAGCGGACACAGCAACCACAGAAGCCACAACAGCAGCCAATGCCGGCACCGCAGCAGTCGAAACAGCAGAAACAACACCACCAGCAGCACCAGCAACCTCAGCAGAAACAACACCAGCAGCGGCAGCAGCAACAGCAGCAGCAGAAGCAGAAACAGGACCAACATCACCAACAACAACAGCTGGTTCGGCGGACACAGCAGCAGCAGCAGCAGCAACAGCTAATTTGGCGGACGCCGCCAGAGCAGCAGCGCGCATCACTGTGGCAACAGCGGATGCAACAGGAGCAGGAGCAGCAGCGGCAGCAACTCAAAATGCCATGGCAACCATGCCCGTGCCTAGCACATCAACTCATGCCGCCGGACTATTCACAAACATTTGCAGAACAGCGGCAAAGGTTAGTATACCGCCACCACCAGCAGCAACAACAACAGCAGACAGAAGAGGATGACGACGAGGACGAAGATGAAGATGAGGACGAGGACGAGAAGGAAGAGAAACGGCGTCAGAAAGAGCAGAAGAAACAGCTCAAGCTGCAGCAGCAGCATAAGCGGCCAGGCCAGAAACTCCCAACAACGGTGTGCGGATGCATACTGAAGCGGCAGCGACACAAGCAGGAGCTACTGCTGCAGCGGCAACGGGAAGAGGAAGAGCGGCGACTACTGGAGCCAATACTGGAGCTGCAGCGGCAGCGAGAACAGGCGGAGGAGGAAGTGCGACGACGCCAGGGACAGCGGCAGAAGGCAAAGAACGGCTTCGAGCTGGAAAGAAAAGAGGCGCGGAGGATCCTAGAGCCCCAGCCTGGACAACAGCAGCGAGAAGCAGAGAGGAAAGCCAACGGCGGGAGCAACAATAGTAGGAGACGCACGTTCTTGCTTCCACGCTCTATGCGCAAGAGTATGCACAAGTACAAGAATATGCCGAAACGGCCCAAGTTCAAGGCCGACACGGAGCTGAAGGAGCTGGAGGTGCCGAACGTGTGGCCAGACATGAAACCCGCGCTGGAGTTGTGGACGCGCTACGAACCGTTCGCGTGCGCTCCCGCTCTCTGGTTTGTCCTGCTGGACGTGGACCGGAGAGTGACACTGGACAGGGAGCTGTGCCAGCGTCTCATGCCGATCTGCTTCAAGGACCACCGGCACTTGGCTGACCCTCACGCCCGGCGTACACAGTTCCACGCGGAGCTGCCACGGAGCGAAGGCGAGCAGTTCCTCTTCTTCCTGCTGCTGGACATCCTGCAGGAGCATCGCAAGTACCACACCGACCGCGGCGACCTCAAGCTGGTGGAGTGTGCCGGACTACGCTGTGAGAGTGCCGGCGGACTGCGTGGCGACGGTGTCGCCTTCTCGCCAGCACGCAAGCGGCTATTACAACGCCGACGCCTCACCACCACCACCAGCAGCAGCAGCGCAAGTAGCCGCCGTAGTAACGCCGGTGGCAGTCGACGTCCCCCCTGTGAGTTCTTCCCAAACATCTTATTGTCCGAGGAAAAGCGCAATTTCAAACTGGCCGCCGGCATTACGCTGACTATACCACAGTGCAACGCGCTGAACACCGTCATGATGCAGCACAACTGCCTGGCCAAGTTCCAGACCATCTGCCTGGCGCACTGTCGCCTGGGCAACGAGGGACTGCGCTGTCTGCGTGACGGCCTGCTGAGGCACTGCGACCGCGTGTTCAAGCTGGACCTGTCGTACACGGGCATACGCGACACGACCGACGTCTGCAATCTAATCTGCACGATGGCCGGCCACCTGAGCAAGCTGAACCTGAGCCACAACCGCGTGAGCACGCTGGACTTTGCCAGGCTGTGCCGAGTGGCATTGATCAGGTGCCCGGAGCTCAGCGAGGTGGATATCTCACACATGGTGTACGGCGCATCGCTGGATGATGTCTCCGAGGTGATAGCCGCCTGCCGAAAGCTCTGCCTGCTGCGTGCCTCCTACAACGTGTTTGAGTACCCGACGTTGTGCGAGAAGGATCGGTTCAGCTATCTGTACCGAGAGCGCAGGCGTCCCATGCTCAAGCTAGAGTTTACCAACAGTGGTGTGGAGCACCTGGTCAAAGTGCCAATCTGGCTGCCCAAGATCGAGCGCGATGCCAACGAGAAGCGGGACAGAGATCTGGAGGAGCAGCTACGCAAGCAACGGCTGGCAGAGCTGTGAGCTGTAGAGTGTGCTGAGTTGTAGAGTGTGTGTGTGTGTGTGTTTTTGTGTTTGTGTGTGTGTGTGTGTGTGTGTGTGTGTGTGTGTGTGTGCGTGCGCGCATGTGTGCATGCGTGTGTGTGTTTGTATGTGTGTGCTGTAGACAGTAGAGTGTGTTGGCAGGGCAGGCACATGCTGAGTCATGTATCCGTCCGCTGAGTGAGCACTTTTAGAAGCATTCAACACACACGTGCGCGCACGCGCGCGTGCACACACACAGAGGCACGGAGGATAATGTTCTCCCAGTCAGCCATTTCACTCACAGAACGGTTTCTTCTTTCAACTAAACTTACATGCTCATGCTCGGTGTTGGAAACATTATACACTGTACTTATTAACATGGAAAGGATTGGGAGAACTTCAAATTCAGGCACTTTCAGGTTCACTTCCCTGAGTGATCAGTGGTCACTTTTAAATTATTTAAAAAATATTTATTTAATTTTAATTTGAAGAGCTATGCCAGAGTGCAAGTGCAGCTCCTGTATGCAAAGTTATATGAAACTCTAGACAGTAAGTCTGGGTCAGGTTTTTGGTAACTTCATGCTCGCATGCAGAAACAAAGCATCATAGCATGTTGTCATTGCCATCACGCTGCTGCTGCTACTGCTGCATTGATGTACTGTCACCATTGCAAAACAAGAGGCAACTCTCCTCTCGTCTGTCTCTCTAGCTCTCTGTTTTGCATTCCCTCTCTTATAACAACCATCCTCTCCATCTTCTCTCATTATCATTCTGAAGAACACGGTCATAGAAACGTTAATACCGATTCAGTATCAATCAGGCAAGTCTGCAGTGGCTCCTGTTGTGTGGTCTGCCTATCCACCAGTGTCTGTCTGTCTGCGCATCCGTCCTCTGTCTGTCTATCTCCCTCTCTGTCCCGGTCTCTGTCTGTCTGTCATCTATGTGAGTGTGTGTTGTATCACATTGTTGCTATGAGAGAGATCTCATGCAATGCTGTGTGTCTTGCATGCAGCCCATCACTCCACCCCCAGTGCCCCGTCAATGGACCACATCACCTCCATGACGCTGGGGAAGGTTGCTGATTGGCTGTAGACGAGGCAACGATCACGTGGCATGTAATACAATACCATTGATTACGGCATTGTACTACTAGTGCTCCCTGGTTTGGACGCAGGTGAACGCAGTGCCCAGCACTGGTACGGAACAGTGAGTCGTAAAATACCGGTATTTTACGACCGGTATTTTACGACTCCCTGATACGGAACTACGGCCCTCAACACATCTAAAGTTATCAATACCACCACACTCCATTATTCATCCCAGTGTCTGGAGATATGTGGATTTTGTAGAAAAAATTGTCACATAGCAATGCCACAAAGAAGTCCTTTTCTGCCGTTACTCAAGAGTTCCGTGTAAAAAAAACACTCATCAGACAGCATGCTATCCTAACCATCTAAGACTTATCGAGTTAAGTGGCAGAGAGACATGACCATACAGGCCAGCTGGTCGCACAGAGCAGCTCAGCTCAAAACAGCTTGAACTTAGACAAGCGTACATACAGTCATGTCAGGGAGTCGGTATTTTACGACTCCCTGACATGTATCAGGGAGTCGGTATTTTACGACTCCCGGATACATGTACTTCAAGTACGTCACGTACTCATGCTATGAGCATTGAAGCAGGTTCGAACGTTCCCGCACCAAGTCGCACAAACAACCCACGCAGGCGCGCTCCAAAGAAGCAGGTTTCCCCAAGCACATCAAGAGATGCAAATGCAGTCACGTGCGCGCACAAGTAAAATTTGTTCAAATAAGTTCAAAGGTTAAGAAAACGGAAATGAGAGGGCCAGAGCGCCAAAACGGCAGTCACTGGCAGCATAGGAAAATATAATCACACGATGGCATGGGGTTGAAAGGGGTGGGGGTAAGGGGGTGAAAGGGGATGGGGAGGATATCAGCAAGCTTTGTACAATCAGCTAAGATGTAGAACGGATAAATCACAAACAGGCGGTGGGGGGGGGGGGGGGGGGGGGGGGTAAATAATAAAACACACCGTGTTTCATACGGTATGGAATTGAGTAGTAAAGTAAAGAACTGGCACATCCTCATCACCATTATAGATTGCTACTGGTTCAGAATGGAGAGAGAGAGGCAAGCGCAGCAATGCTATTCATATCCACGCGTTCATCAGTGCCATCACCCCAAGTATCACAAACATCGTTGCATTGGCCAAGGATAAAAGTAGAGAGGCACAAGACGACGATGACGACGCCAACAACAACAACCACTGCAGAGAGTGTAACCCGGGAGAGGTAATCCACATTGGCAGCAAACACCATTGGACAAGAATCAACCGTGTCCGGCAGCCAGACAGTCGGACCGCAAGGGCATGCCCGGCAAGTGCCGGGGAATCAAGAGAAGGCCGAGAGTAGCGCGCAAGACGTATCCGGCTAGGTCCCCGAAGAGTATGCAGTATATGCATGCCCCCGCACTGCAATGCACTCACCATCACGGTCACGGGCATTGGTGAGACTGAGAGCGGTGTAATGGTGGTGGTGTTGTTGTGCAATGACTAGTACAAGCGGTGACCACCAGCAGTACCACCACTGGAACTAATTACTTGAATGTTCAGCAATAAAGGATCTTATGCTAGTCGCTCACACACTCAGTATCATGGAACTTGAATAGGTACAGTGTGTATGTACGACCACGCACATGCTGTACCAGGTGACCAGCAGTGGAAAGAGAATATGTACAGCGTGTATGTACGACCACGCAACTACCAGCTGACCACCAGTTGAACTTGATCACGTACAAACTCTGAAAGTACAAGTATCTATGACAACACAAGTACTAGTAGCAGCAGCAGCAGCAGCAGTATTCTACATCATAAACACACCAACCAACGAGTCAAACCCAACTGACTTACTACAACACTAGTTGGGAAATGCTACACTGCCTTGGACGACAACAACGGCGACGACAACGATGATAGTGACTAGATAATCAACACCCATTGCTGATGTTCGCCACACACCACGGGTGACAGGGACGAAAGGCCAGTGCAAGGGTCAGTGGTGTGCGTGTGTGAGCGATGGTCATGTGCCGGGTAAGCGGATTGTGGTGAGAGCGTTGGAGCGCCGCTCCGTGTTCTGGAAGAGAGCGCGTATGAGCTGGCGCACCTCCGCAGCCGTGTAGATACTGGAGATGGGACCCTGGAAAACATACGTGTGGGTGGTGGGTGTGCACAGGCGCATGCACACACACACCAACACACACACGCACACACACACACACACACACATGCACACACACACACACACACACACACACACACACATACACACACACACACAAACACACAAACACACAAACACACGTTTAAAAGGGCTCGGCTGCAAGCACCTGCATCCGCGGGGAAGACCAGACGATGCATACATGGATGACTGACAGCACGAGATAGAGAGTCCTGCCAGAAGTAATCCATTTCTTTTACCAGGGTAAAGTCCCCAGTTAAAAGCAGCAACACCCGTGACCAAAACCAGGCATCAATCCAGCCATCATCTACCTCTTTACATGGGCTGACACACTGAATAGCCTTGCCATCATCTACCTCTTTACATGGGCTGACACACTGAATAGCCTTGCCATCATCTACCTCTTTACATGGGCTGACACACTGAATAGCCTTGCCATCATCTACCTCTTTACATGGGCTGACACACTGAATAGCCTTGCCATCATCTACCTCTTTACATGGGCTGACACACTGAATAGCCATCATCTACCTCTTTACATGGGCTGACACACTGAATAGCCTTGCCATCATCTACCTCTTTACATGGGCTGACACACTGAATAGCCATCATCTACCTCTTTACATGGGCTGACACACTGACCATCATCTACCTCTTTACATGGGCTGACAGACTGAATCATCATCTACCTCTTTACATGGGCTGACACACTGACCATCATCTACCTCTTTACATGGGCTGACAGACTGAATCATCATCTACCTCTTTACATGGGCTGACACACTGACCATCATCTACCTCTTTACATGGGCTGACACACTGACCATCATCTACCTCTTTACATGGGCTGACAGACTGAATCATCATCTACCTCTTTACATGGGCTGACAGACTGAATCATCATCTACCTCTTTACATGGGCTGACACACTGACCATCATCTACCTCTTTACATGGGCTGACACACTGAATCATCATCTACCTCTTTACATGGGCTGACAGACTGAATCATCATCTACCTCTTTACATGGGCTGACACACTGACCATCATCTACCTCTTTACATGGGCTGACAGACTGAATCATCATCTACCTCTTTACATGGGCTGACACACTGACCATCATCTACCTCTTTACATGGGCTGACAGACTGAATCATCATCTACCTCTTTACATGGGCTGACACACTGACCATCATCTACCTCTTTACATGGGCTGACGATCTGAATAGCCTTGACTGCACGCATTCAAATTGGACAGCAAAAAACAAATGACTAGGTCTGTCACTAGGCCTGACAAGATTAACAGGTATAAGTACCGCGGCGACAATCTATACCACAAATTTGGTGGCGTACACACACATGCATGAATGCACACGAATACACAAGAATGCACACGAATGAGTGAGCGCGTGTGCGTACACACACATACATGTACATACACACTACTACTACTACTACTACTACTACTACTACTACTACTACTACTACTACTACTACTACTACTACTATGTCAGCTACCCTATCGAGCCACGCTGCTCCCAGAAGCGGGAGACAACGCCAAGATACACACACACACACACACACACACACACACACACACACACACACACACACACACACACACACACACACACACACACACACACACACACGTGCACACACATACATACCGTGCCCTGGCTCCACAGGTCTACAAACAGCTGTAGGTTCCCATCCAGCAGAATAAGAAGATACCTGAACTTTTCCCAGTGGGGAACAAGTTCTCGAAGTTCACCATCCTGCATCACCACAACAGCAATCAACAGGGTAACATGACAAACAATACCGGTAGAAGAAGAAGAAGCTTCCAACAGAGAAACAGTGTGTGTGTGTGTGTGTGTGTGTGTGTGTGTGTGTGTGTGTGTGTGTGTGTGTGTGTGTGTGTGTATTGTGGTTGCTGTGCACAAGTGCACGACACCCGCCCCGGCATCACCCCCACACCCCAGCGCATACCAATCACCAGCCATCCGTGTTGCAACCAGCACTGCGCTACCTGTGATCGCTGTTTTAAATCTGCTCCTGGCTTTCGGCGACACAATTGCAATCGTGGACGGCGTCGTGGCGGAGCGGCTTCCTAGTGGCAGTGCTGACTTCTCTCAAACTCTCTCTCTTCTACTCTCCCCTGTCTCGGGGGCGGCGTGGCCAAGCATTTGGCAGCTGTACACCAGGCCAGGTGTGTGTGTACGTGTGCGTGTGTATTCGTGTGTACTAGTTTGTGAGCGTGAGCTTGTGCACACGTGTGCATATAGAAGTTCATCCACAAACGGAGTAGAGTACCGCCCAAACCGTTAATTTGATCATCGTAGTATAAGCCGCACCGACCTTTTTCGGGTGAGTTACTGGTGTTAAAGTGCAGCTTATACTTGTAAAATACAGCAGTTGGTTACAGTCTCCCCTGCCCCCCCCCCCCCCCACACACCACACCCCTGCCCCCCCCCCCCCCTCCCTCTCCACCGCTACCCTCACTGGCCATCACCTTACCGTGAGAGGTACAAGATCTTGGCTGGCTGCAGCCATCGCACCACCTCCACCTGCAGAACTCGCCGCCGTGGACGACGATGCAGAGGAGCCTTTACGCGCAGTAGGTGTTGCCTTGTCCGCGGCGGCCGTGGTGCTGCTGCTGCTGTCAGATTGGCGCTGTGGCTGTGGCGGCGGCATGGCTAGGTGTGCTGGTAGGCCGGTGAGCAGCGACGACAGTTCCGTGTGCACGGCGATCGCCTCCGTGGCTGAGATGTCCTGTACACGAATACGCACGCGGGAGAGGACATACAACAACAAAGAAATGGACAACTTGACTAATGCAGCTTTTGCAGGCAGGTGCAGAGTATCCTTTTGCAAGCAGGCAGGTATCATTAATGCTGACTTTAGCAGGCAGGTAACACTTGACCAATGCTGACTTTGTAGATACAGTGCAAGCGCCCTGGTGCTGTGTACACATACCGTAAAGTCGCGGATAAAAGCCGGGTTCGCATACAAGCACATCGCGGATAGAAGCCTGAAAATCAAACGGGTCAATGCATATAAGCCTGTCGCGCGTAGAAGCCTGGCTTCTATGCAAGCGCGGATCGGGTAGGTCAAGAGTGCATGCGCTATGTACATGTACAGTGCATAGTAAAACTGCCGCCATACCGGTAGTCAGTGGTAAATCTACGCGTGTCGCGCGTAGAAGCCTGGCTTCTATGCAAGCCCGGATCGGCCGATGTGCATACAAGCCTGGCAAAAATATCAGTGGTGCATATAAGCCTGGTTTGCATTGAAGCCTGATGCAGAAAGCGGCTTATGTGCTTATAAGCCCGGCTTTTATCCGCGACTTTACAGTATGCCACTAGTAGCAGGCCCGCCCAGACCCTAACAGACAGACCCGCCGGAACCGGTCCAGTTGGTCAGGTCATCACCCGACCAACTAATTGTTGGCCACCACCAACGCATGTTGTTACTCCCGAGGAGATAGATGTATATGATTATGTGTGCCCACTACACGTTGACTGTACGCAGTGCCAGAGTATGAAATGGCTATGGTATGGCCGGACCAATGAAGAAACTGCTTCCACCGGTCCTGGTCTCTCCACAAACCGATACTGTCAAACATGTAATTTTCGGTGTAACTTTATATTTCGGTGATTTCGGTAGAAATACCAGGCACCTAAATTTAGATTACACCTAAATGGCACAATAGTATTGTGATGTATGTGAAGGGAGTGTTGGCCACCTAACTCTAAGTTACACCTGAAACCCATAAGGTTCCCGACACCGAAATTTGAATACACCTAAAATTACAAAATTACATGTTTTACAGTATATGCATACACAAACCCCAATATCACCACACAGGACACTATATGCGTGAAAAGGAAGTGAATCAGTGAGTCACTTGGGCTTAAACTGGGCCATCTACTACAGTCAACATACAAACAGCAGAATCAGTGTGTGATGGTCGTTGTACATACCTGCAATGCCACAACGCTAGACACAACACTGTTGATCACGGCGTCAATGAGCAGAGCGATGCTACGCAGGAACACTGTCTTGGGCAGTACGTCCTACAAACAACAACAGACAACACACACATACGCACACACCCACACACACATACAGGGAAGACAAAACAACTCGCAAAACGTTACGACGGCACAGGGACTTTCTTTGAAAGGCTGCGAACAGAGATCTTCAGTCAGTTCAAGAGATTAAAAAAAAAGGAAAAAAAGAGCCGTGCGTCGCCCGGGAATCGAACCCGGATCAACTGCTTGGAAGGCAACTATGCTAACCATTACACCAGCAACGCCTGCACAAAGCAAAACGGGTGATAAGACAATACTAGAGAGGTTAAGTTTCACGTAAAAGTCTTACGTTTTTAAATTACGTCCGTGAACTTTTACGTCAAAAAGTGAAAAAACTCACGTAAAATTTGACGTGTTTTACGTGAGTTGACTGTCCCGCACGTTAGTTCATGACGTGAGTTTTTGGAAGTTTCGCTCCGTTATTCCGACCGAATTTGTGTGAGTTTCCGGAATTTTATCGAGTTTTATCTAGTTTGTTGGAAGATTTGATATTTGTGCGAACTAAACCCGAATCCTGCCAGGCAAAATTTCACGTCACGTCGCACGTGTAACTTAACCTCTAAAAATTACACGTAATGTGAGATTTGCACCGCGTTTTGAAAAAGGGCAAAAAACGTGTAACTTAACCTCTCTACTAAGTCTTATTGATTGAAATGGCACGCTGAAGGACGATCACTTTGGCGCTGTAATGAGTGTGGCCAAGAGTACATGAAAACCAGAGTGTGCAGCTCGGATGGGTTGCTGTCACGGCGAAATTCCGTGATTACATCATTTTAGTGATGTAGTGCGTACAAGCAGGATTCAAGCAGGTCTCTTTCTGCACAACTGCAGCTCAGTTGTACACACTACGCCATTTCCCGCCTCAGATCTGGGCCAAATATGATGTAATCACGGAATTTCGCCGTGACAGACACCCATAGCAGAAAAGGCCCCAAGCTGCACCCTCTGGTTTTCATGTACTCTTGGTGTGGCGTAGTATCAGCAAAACTACTACAGTAAAACTGCCCAGATCCGGGTTGCAGGTTGGGACCGAACACTGCCTGTAACTAGCAATTGCCCGTAACTCACAACTTGCATACTTACTGCACGGAAGTAAATATTTTTACGCCAATTAATACCGGTAGTTTTCTAGGCCAATTTTCATTGAAAAGCCACTTTTTGTGACTGTGACTGTGTCAGAAAGGTGCCCGGATTAGGGGCGTCTGGATTAGGGGTGCCCGGATTAGGGGCGTCTGGATTAGGGGTGCCCGGATTAGGGGCGTCTGGATTAGGGGTGCCCGGATTAGGGACGTCTGGATTAGGGGTGCCCGGATTAGGGACGTCTGGATTAGGGGTGCCCGGGTTAGGGACGTCTGGATTAGGGGTGCCCGGATTAGGGACGTCTGGATTAGGGGTGCCCGGATTAGGGACGTCCGCATCTGGGCAGTTTTACTGTAGTGGTATTAAATCCATAGGTGTTGGAAACTCACCCGCCACACGGACGACAATTGACCTAGCTGGTGCATCACCTAAACAGTGCACATGCACACACACACAAACACACACACACGAGCACCCACACATACAGCGAGACACACAAACACACACATCCATGCACACAGATGCGCACACACGAGCACCCACACACACAGACACGATCAGACGCACAAACACG